ATGTAACCCATTGAACCTCAGGTTATTATGCTCCCTATTTATATTTCACCTAGAGATTGGTGAAATATACAGTACAGTATATTTATCCAGATGTTTGTGCTTTATTACAAGTCACCTAATTATATTCATTTTACCAATTTATTACAAGAAATATTACTGAAAGAACTTTGGTCAGTTCACCTCTGGGAGATGTACCCGTTTGTGAATCGGACTCTGGGAAGTGTACCCCTGGCATGTCATGTATACCATTGCAGGGTGAATAAGCATTTGGTGGCCTGCCTCATGTGGTCCACACCCTCAAGCCTTATCCACTGTACTGTATAATCACCATTTTAATCTTGTTTAGGATACACAATTTATAACAATAGTTTGTGTATAAATGGTTCTGTTCCACTGCCTTAGTAGTCATGACAGACTGGCAAGAAGTCTCCTTATTTGTTTTGGTACTATACAATGGTTACTTTAAATTAAGTTTTGTCAGTATTTTTATATCAGTACAGTTTTATCCAGTACTTTACTGGTTATCTAATTTCGTTGTCCTCTATAGCATTATTAAGTTATGTATTTGAAGTCTGGAAGGATACACATGTGGTAAGGCAGTTAACAGAAAAAAGTCACAGGAAAGTAATTCTCTAAAAATGCCATTGAAAATAAAATAACACCAAAAGTATTTTAAGTCAGTTAGGTTAGGGTTTGAATCTTTTCTTAGGTTCATTAAAACTAAACAATCCAAATGTAATGGTTTTTCAACACGTTCCAAAATAATTACATGGATGCGAATCTTTCCTACATTTGGTAAAGTTCATGAGAGGAGGAGAGGGAAGCACCAAGAACATTTCAGATTCTCAACTACCTCCTTTACTTTAATTGTTCCTCTTTGCCACTGATCGGCGGCTTGTAAGTCGCTTGGGTGGTCGGTCATGTCTGCTACACACTGTTGAAAAGTATTGGGCATATACTGGCTCCAGAATGAATATGAAACCGCACCATTGTTGGTCAAGTCTGGTCTTGAATTAGGTGCCATTACAACATTCTCTGGCAGATTGTGAGAGTTCACTAAACTCAAACTCCAAAAAAGTTTGTCCTAACATTTTCCCAAGCTTGTGGTTTCTTCCGATCTCTACTAAGGCAGGCATCCGCCAGTTCCAGGTATGAATACTCGACTGAGCAATGTCTTCTGCCCATCTATTGAATAAGCTAGGCAACTGCAGGCATTCTAATTTCTCTGGGTACCTGAGGTGCCAAAAGCACAGACACAAGTCTGGTGGCCCTCCTTTGGACATTTTCCATTACCTGACCATCTCTAGCATATCTCAGGGATCAGACTTCAAACAGGGAAGCACTTCACCCTTAATGAGAGATATGAGGGATGGTTCCAAGGGTGGTGGTGAAGTCCTGGAGTTGGAACCCCCTCTTTTCATCAGAAAATCTCAATACTTTTTCTTAATGCAGTATTGTAAAATGTAATTACTACTGACCTCAGATTAACTCCTAATATCAAATGCACATGGCCTCAAAATGATGATCACATTGGTCAGATTTCAAAAATTTTCGGAGGGGGGACGGGGGGTAGAGCACCCCCCTCCCCCCAAAAAACACCCACCTCGGTGGGGGCTCACTGTGCTCGCCATGGTCCACCTACCACAACTTCTTGGACCCCCACCCCCCTTTTGATATTCATGGATCCACCCCTGCCTTCTAGGTATGTGAACACCCTTCTTTTAAGGCCTAGAAGCTTAGTTGCCTGATTTACCTTCTCATAATGATCCAGTAACATCAGTTTGTCAACATGCACACCAATGTCCATTTCACATTTTGTCTCTGTTAATGATGTTTCTTCATCCTGCTGGGACATGTGTTACACCTTCTTACTATTGGTATAACCTAGGTGCACCCTTTGCAATGCATAACACTGAAAAGAGCCATTCCTTTCCCTACTCCTGAAGCCAACAGAGATCTTTCTGTAATGCGTCACAATCTGTTTGGTTCTTAATTTCCCTGAATAACTTAGCATCGCCTGTAAGCACTTCTATGGAGGACTGTATAACATCTGGCAAATAATTTATGAAACAAATAAATAACGGATCCAGTACATTGCCCTGTGGTAACCCGATTGCCAAGGGGACACATGATTTCTTGCCATAAATCACCACACACTGCTTGTGGTCATGGAAAAGTTCTCTGATCCACACTATTACGTTTCTCCAAATTCCGTACCCTCCCAGTTTAAATTTCAGCTTTTCATATCAAAACAACAACACCTAACACAACACGAGGTTTTATTATAACCATTACAAAAGGTCTTCAGTATTATTTATAGTTATAACAACAACATCTACTGCAACTTCTACTAATGGTGTCACTACTACCCAAAAAGTAGTACAGTATACTGTACTTAGTTATGAGATGACTCTCCATTACCAGTAGGTAAACAAAAAACAGTATACATTATAATGCACTGAATGTTATACCCACCACCAGCTGGCTACAACTATCACCACCACCAGCTGGCTACAACTATCACACCACCACCAGCTGGCTACAACTATCACCACCACCACCAGCTGGCTACAACTATCACCACCACCACCACCAGCTGGCTACAACTATCACCACCACCACCACCAGCTGGCTACAACTATCACCACCACCACCAGCTGGCTACAACTATCACCACCACCACCAGCTGGCTACAATATCACCACCACCACCAGCTGGCTACAACTATCACCACCACCACCAGCTGGCTGCAACTATCACCACCACCAGCTGGCTACAACTATCACCACCACCACCAGTGGCTGCAACTATCACCACCACCACCAGCTGGCTGCAACTATCACCACCACCACCAGCTGGCTGCAACTATCACCACCACCACCAGCTGGCTGCAACTATCACCACCACCACCACCAGCTGGCTACCTATCACCACCACCACCACCAGCTGGCTACAACTATCACCACCACCACCAGCTGGCTACAACTATCACCACCACCACCAGCTGGCTGCAACTATCACCACCACCACCAGCTGGCTGCAACTATCACCACCACCACCAGCTGGCTGCAACTATCACCACCACCACAGCTGGCTGCAGCTATCACCACCACCACCAGCTGGCTGCAACTATCACCACCACCACCAGCTGGCTGCAACTATCACCACCACCAGCTGGCTACAACTATCACCACCACCACCAGCTGGCTGCAACTATCACCACCACCACCAGCTGGCTGCAACTATCACCACCACCACCAGCTGGCTGAACCTATCACCACCACCACCAGCTGGCTGCAACTATCATCACCACCACCACCAGCTGGCTGCAGCTATCACCACCACCACCAGCTGGCTGCAACTATCACCACCACCACCAGCTGGCTGCAACTATCATCACCACCACCACCACCAGCTGGCTGCAACTATCACCACCACCACCAGCTGGCTGCAACTATCACCACCACCAGCTGGCTGCAACTATCACCACCACCACCAGCTGGCTGCAACTATCATCACCACCACCAGCTGGCTGCAACTATCATCACCACCACCAGCTGGCTGCAACTATCTACCACCACCAGCTGGCTGCAACTATCACCACCACCACCAGCTGGCTGCAACTATCACCACCACCACCAGCTGGCTGCAACTATCATCACCACCACCACCAGCTGGCTGCAACTATCACCACCACCACCAGCTGGCTGCAACTATCACCACCACCACCAGCTGGCTGCAACTATCACCACCACCACCAGCTGGCTGCAACTATCACCACCACCACCAGCTGGCTGCAACTATCACCACCACCACCAGCTGGCTACAACTATCACCACCACCACCAGCTGGCTCAGCTATCACCAACCACCAGCTGGCTCAGCTATCACCACCAGCTGGCTACTATCACCACCACCACCAGCTGGCTACAACTATCACACCACCAGCTGGCTACAACTATCACCACCACCACCAGCTGGCTACAACTATCACCACCAGCTGGCTACAACTATCACCACCACCACCACCAGCTGGCTACAACTATCACCACCACCACCACCAGCTGGCTACAACTATCACCACCACCAGCTGGCTACAACTATCACCACCACCAGCTGGCTACTACTATCACCACCACCAGCTGGCTACAACTATCACCACCACCAGCTGGCTACAACTATCCACCACCAGCTGGCTACAACTATCACCACCACAACAAGGTGGCTACAACTATCACCACCACCACAAGGTGGCTAATATCACCACCACCACCAGCTGGCTGCAACTATCACCACCACCACCAGCTGGCTACAACTATCACCACCACCAGCTGCTACAACTATCACCACCACCACCAGCTGGCTACAACTATCACCACCACCAGCTGGCTACAACTATCACCACCACCACCAGCTGGCTACAACTATCACCACCATCAGCTGGCTACAACTATCATCACCAGCTGGCTACAACTATCACACCACCACCAGCTGGCTACAACTATCATCACCAGCTGGCTACAACAATCACCACCACCAGCTGGCTACAACTACCACTAACAATCTAACCACCAGCTACAACTACCACCACCAGCAGATACAACTATCACTAACAACCACCAGACCATCAACTACAGTACAACTACCATCACCAGCCCAGCTACAACTAACATAACCTAATCTAACCATAACCATCCCCAGCTACCACCATCACCTTCAGCTACAACTAGCACCACCACCCCCAGCTACAACTAGCACCACCAGCCCAGCTGTAACTACCACCACCAGTTACATCTATCACCACCCCAGCTACAACTACCACCACCACCCCGGCTGCAACTATCACCTCAATTCCCAGCTACTATTATCATTGTTCCAAGCTACAACTAACTACGACCATTACCAGCTACAACTATCACCACAACAACTACAACTGGCCCCACAGAGATGCGAGTAAGATGGGAAGGTGGGGTGAGTCACGATATAAATAATTATACTCACCAGTTACATTCGGACTTATCGTCACGAACGTCGCAGTAAGCGTCCCTCATCCCGTCACGGTCTACCTGGGTCATGGCCATCACCTGCAACACAATGACAGGTCAGAATAAAACAAGCATAAGCCAGCAGCTTGACTGACTCGACTACCGGGTCACCCTTAAATTCAACATAGCCTAATTTAACCTCAAATTCACGTTTTGATATACAGGTATTTCTTTTGTAATCTAAAGACCATATTTTGTGTAAATATTTTTATACCTAGAATGTAAAGATAATTTAAATTTCCAATGGAACGTCAATTAGAATACACAAGAAGTTTATAATTTGAAACAATTATTATGTAGTGGGGGGGTTCAATCGTTCGCTCTCCCAAAGTGAAGCAGATAAAACAGCACACTGCACCAGACGACAGTTCCCGTGAATCAATTTCACCATGAAGATAGAACGTTTGTACGCGACTTTACTGTCTTGCCAACAGTGCCTAACAGAACTGACCAGCTAGTAAGCTGACAAGTGACAAAAATAAGTAGGTTATACTGTATAATACACCGCAGGTGGAGTTCGTTTTCGCACTTCAGATCATAAACAATGGATCGGCAAAATAGCCGAAACCAACCTGTCAGGCTATTTTACTGTGACCGGTACTTTACCCTGTCAGGCCATTTTACCATGAACAGGTAGGTGTAGATGGGTAGGTAGGTGTAGATGGGTAGGTGTAGGTAGGTAGGCAGGTAGATGTGGGTAGATGAGTAGGTGTAGATAGAAAGATAGGTGTGGGTAGGTGGAGTGGTAGGTAGGTAGGTGTAGATAGGTAGGTAGGTGTAGATGAAAGATGGGTGTGGATGGGTAGATTGGTGTGGAATAGGTAGGTGGGTAGGTGTAGATAGAAGATAGGTGTAGATGGGTAGGTAGGTGTGAATGTGGGTAGGTGGTGGGTGTAGATGAAAGATGGTGTGAATGGGTGGGTGGGTGTGGGTGGGTGGGTAGGTGGGTGGGTAGGTGGGTGGTGTGGATGGAGTAGGTGGGTGTGGGTGAGGTGTAGATAGGTGGGTAGGGTAGGTGGGTGGGTGTGGATGGGTGGGTAGGTAGGTGTGTGATGGAGGTGGGTGGGTGGGTGTGGATGGGTGGGTGAGGTGTGGGTAGGTGTGTGGTGGGTAGGTAGGTAGGTGTGGGTAGGTGGTAGTGAGTGGTGGTGGGTGTAGGTGGGTGGATAGGTAGGTGGGTGGGTGGATGGGTAGGTAGGTGTAGTGTAGGTAGGTGGGTGTAGGTAGGTGGATAGGTGAGATATAGGTAGTGAGTGTGGATGAGTAGGTAGGTGGGTGTGGAGAGGTGGGTGTGGGTAGTGGGTGTGGGTGGAGAGGTAGGTATGGATAGTGAGTAGGTAGGTGTGGAGTGTGGTTATGGTGGGTGGTGTAGATAGGTGGGTAGGTGGGTGTGGATGGGTGGGTAGGTGTGGGTGGGTGGGTGTGGGTGGTGGGTGTGGGTAGGTGGGTGTGGTGGGGTGTGGGTGGGTGGGTAGGTGGGTGGGTGTGGGTGGGTGGGTGGGTGTGAATGGGTGGGTAGGTGGGTGTAGATGGGTAGGTAGGTGTGAATAGGTAGGTAGGTGTAGATGGGTGGGTGTAGATGGGTAGGTGGGTGTGGATGATGGGTGGGTGGGTAGGTATGATGGGTGGGTAGGTGTAGATGGTGGGTGGGTGTGGATGGGTAGGTAGGTGTGGATGGGTGGGTGTGAATGGGTGGGTGGGTGGTGGGTGGGTAGGTGTGGATGGGTGGGTGGGTGGGTGTAGATGGGTGGGTGGGTGGGTGTGGATGGGTGGGTGGGTGGGTGTGGATGGTGGGTGGGTAGGGTGGATTAGGTGGAGTGGGTAGATGGGTGGGTGGGTGGATAGAAGGTGGGTGGGTGTAGATGGTGGGTGGGTGGATGATGGGTGGGTGGGTGGGTTGAATGGGTGGGTGGGGGGTTTGTGGAGTGGGTGGGTGGGTGTGGGTGGGTGGGTGTGAATGGGTGGGTGATGGGTGGGTGGGTGGTGGGTGAATGGGTGGTGATTGGGTGGGTGGGTGTGGATGGGTGGGTAGATGGGTGGGTGGGGATGAATAGATTGGGTGGGTGGGTGGGTGGATTGGGTTGGGTGGGTGGATGGGTGGGGTGGATGGTTAGGTGGGTGGGTGGATAGGTGGGTAGGTGGGTGTAGATGGTGTGGTGGGTGGGTGGGTGTGAGATGGGTGGGTGGGTGGTGGGTGGGTGTAGATGGGTGGGTGGGTGGGTGGGTGTGGATGGTGGTGGGTAGGGTGGGTGGGTTTGATGGTGGTGGTGGTGGGTGTAGATGGGTTGGGTGGGTGGGTGGGTTGTTGGATGGTTGGGTGGGTGGTTGGGTGGAGTGTGGGTGGGTGGGTGGGTGTAGATGGTGGGGTGTGGATGGGTGGGGTGGGTGGGTGTGGATGGGTGGGCAGGTGGGTGTGGATGGTGGGTGGGTGGTGAAGAGGGTGGTGGGTGTGATGGGTGGGTGGGTGTAGATGGGTGGGTGGGTGTGAATGGGTGGGTGGGTGTAGATGGGTGGGTGGAGTGTGATAGGTAGGTGGGTGGAGATGGGTAGGTAGGTGGGTGGGTGTTGAATGGGTGGGTGGGTGGGTGTGGAAGTGGTGGGTGGTGTGGGGTGGTGATGGTGGGTGGGTGGGTGTGGATGGTGGGTGTGGTGGGTGGGTGGGTGGGTGAATGGGTGGGTGGGTGGGTGGGTAGGTGTGAATGGTGGGTGGATGGGTGGGTGGGGTGTGGATGGGTGGGTGGGTGGGTGGGTGTGAATGGGTGGGTGTGAATGGGTGGGTGGGTGGGTGGGTGTGGATGGTGGGTGGGTGGGTGGGTGGATGGATAGGTGGGTGGGTGGGTGGGTGGATTGGTGGGTGGGTGGGTGGGTGTGGATGGGTAGGTGGGTGGGTGGGTGTGGATGGTGGGTGGGTGGGTGGGTGTGGATGGGTGGAGTAGATTAGGTGGGTTGGATGGGTGGGTGGGTGGGTGGGTGAATGGGTGGATGGGTGGGTAGGTTTAGATAGGTGGGTAGGTGGGTGGGTGTGGATGGGTGGGTGGTGGGGTGTTAGATGGTGGGTGGGTGGGTGGGTGTGGATGGGTGGGTAGGTGGGTGGGTGTGGATGGTGGGTGTGAATGGTGGGTGGGTGGGTGTGGATATGGGTGGAGGGAGGTGGGTGTGGATGGGTGGGGGTGGGTGTAGATGGGTGGGGGTGGGTGTAGATGGGTGGGGTAGTGTGGTGGGTGGTTGGTGTGGATGGGTAGGTAGGTGGGTGTGGATGGGTGGGTGGGTGTGGATGGGTGGGTGGGTGGTGTAGATGGGTGGGTAGGTGGGTGGAATGGTAGGTGGGTGGGTGGTGTGGATGGGTGGGTAGGTGTGATGGGTGGGTGGGTGTAGATGGGTGGGTAAGGTGGAATGGGTAGGTGGGTGTAGATGGGTGGGTGGGTGGGAATGGGTGGGTGTGGTTGTGGGTGGGTAGATGGATAGGTGGGTTTGGTGGGTGGATGGGTGGGTGGGGTGGGTGTGAATGGGTGGGTGGGTGGGTGTGGATGGGTGGGTGGGTGGGTGTAGATGGGTGGGTGGGTGGGTGTGGTGGGGTGGGTGGGTGGGTGTGGATGGGTGGGTGGGTGGGTGGGATGGGTGGGTGGGTGGGTGTGGAGTGGGTGGGTGGGTGGGTGTGAATGGTGGGTGGGTGGGTGTGGGTGGGTGGGTGGGTGTGGGTGGGTGGGTGTGGTGGGTTGGGTGGGTGGGTGGGTGGGTGTGGATGGGTGGGTGGGTGGGTGGGTGTGGTTGGTGGGTGGGTGGATGGGTGGGTGTGGATGGGTGGGTGGGTGGATTAGATGATTTGGGTGGGTGGGTGGGTGTAGATGGTGGGTGGGTGGGTGTGAATGGGTGGGTAGGTGGGTGGGTGTGTAGATGGGTGGGTAGGTAGATTGGAGTAGGTGGGGTGTAGATAGGTAGGTGGGTAGGTGGGTGTGGGTAGTGGGTAGGTGGGTGTGAATGGGTGGGTGGGTGGGTGAATGGTGGGTGTGGATGGGTAGGTGGGTGGGTGTAGATGGGTGGGTGGGTAGGTGTAGATGGGTGGGTGTAGATGGTGGAGTGGTGGGTGTGGAGGTGGGTGGGTAGGTGTGGATGGGTGGGTGGGTGTGGGTGGGTGGGTGGGTGTGGATGGGTGGGTGGTGTGAATGGGTGGGTGGGTGGGTGGGTGGGTGTGGATGGTGGGTAGGGTGTGGTGTGGGTGGGTGGGTGTAGATAGGTGGGTGGGTGTAGATGGGTGTAGATAGAAAGATGGGTGTAGATAGGTGGGTGGTAGGTGTAGATAGGTAGGTGGTAGGTGTGAATAGGTGGATGTAGATAGGTGGGTGGTTAGGTGTAGATAGAAGATGGGTTATGATAGGTAGGTAGGTGATAGATGGGTGGGTATGTAGGTGGTGGATGGGTAGGTGGGTGTAGATAGGTGGGTGTAGATAGGTGGGTAGGTGGGTAGGTGGGTGGGTGGGTGTAGATAGGTTGGGTGGGTGTAGATGGGTGGGTAGGTGGTTGGGTTGATGGACAGGTGGGTGGGTGGGTAGGTGGAGTATGGGTGGGTGGTGGGTGGGTAGGTGGGTAGGTAGGTGTGGGTGGGTAGGTGGGTGGGTGTGGATGGGTGGGTGGGTGTATGGTGGGTGGGTGGGTGAATGGTGGGTGGGTGGGTGGGTGGGTGGGTGGGTGTGGGTAGGTGGGTGTGGGTGGGTGGGTGGGTGGGTGTGAATGGGTGGAGTGGGTGTGGATGGTAGGTGTGGATGGTGGGTGGTGGGTGTGATAGATTAGGTGGGTGGGTGGGTGTGGGTGAGGTGGGTGGGTGGGTAGGTGGGTGTGGAGTGGGTGGGTGAGGTAGGTGGGGTATTGGGTAGGTGGTGGGTGGGTGTAGGTAGGTTAGGTGTAGGTAGGTGGGTGTAGGTGGGTAGGTGTAGGTATTAGGTGGGTGTGGTGGGTGGGTGTGGAGTGGGTGTGTGGGTGGGTGGTGGGTGTGGAGTGGGTGGAGTGGGTGTGGGTGGGTGGGTGGGGTGTGGGTGGGTGGG